GAAGATAACACCTTCCAAGTAAATAAATCAGTCACAGAGACAGAGCAGAGAAACAAGAGAAAAGAGCAAAGCCTACAAGAGCTGTGGGATTATGTGAAGAAACCTAATGTGAGGGTCGTAGGGTTGCCAGAAGGGGAAGAAGACAACACTCAAGGGTTGGACAAGCTATTTGAAAATATAATAGAGGAAAATTTCCCAGGCCTTGCTAAAAATCTCGATATACAAGTTCAAGAAGCTCAAAGGACCCCTGGGAGATTCAAACCGGAAGACGTCATGACGTGCAGTCATCAGACTGACCAAAGTATCAACTAAAGAGGCCCTTCTAAGAGCTGTAAGACAAAAGCAGCAAGTAACATACAAGGGAAAGCCAATTTGAATAACACCAGACTTCTCTACTGAGACTTTACAAGCAAGGAGAGACTGGGCCCCCATTCTCACTCTTCTGAAACAAAACAACGCCCAGCCTAGAATCTTATTCCCTGCAAAACTTAGTTTTGTATATGAAGGAGAAATCAAGACATTCACCGATAAGCAAAAACTGAGGGAATTCACCAAGACAAGACCAGCCCTTCAAGAAGTACTCAAAACAGTGTTACCCACGGATCAGAACAATAAACACTCACAAATGTAAATTTACTCAAAGCTAAAGATCAAAGCCCAGACACTACAATGGCTCAAGCGAGAAAACAAAGCAAAAAAGTTCAACCCAACATAATTAACAGAAATCTTCCCCACCTAGCAGTTATCTCAATAAATGTGAATGGCTTGAACTCCCCACTCAAGAGACACAGGCTGGGCGAATGGATAACAAAACACAAGCCAAGTATCTGCTGCCTTCAGGAAACACATCTAACCTGCAAGGACATTGGCCTAGGCAAAGAATTTATGAAGAAGACCCCAAAGGCAATCACAACAGCAACAAAAATAAACAAATGGGACCTAATGAAATTAAAAAGCTTCTGCACAGCCAAAAGAAACTGTCAAGAGAGCAAACAGACAACCCACAGAATGGGAGAAAATTTTTGCAAGCTACACATCTGATAAAGGGCTGATAATTAGAATTTATTTAGAACTCAGGAAAATCAGCAAGAAAAAAATCAAACAACCCTATCAAAAAATGGGCAAAAGACATGAATAGAAACTTCTCAAAAGAAGACAGAATAATGGCCAACAAGCATATGAAAAATGTTCAACATCTCTAATCATCAGGGAAATGCAAATCAAAACCACAACGAGATATCACTTAACTCCAGTGAGAATGGCCTTTATCAAAAAGTCCCCAAACAACAAATGCTGGCGCAGATGCGGAGAGAGAGGAACACTCCTACACTGCTGGCGGGCCTGCAAACTAGTTCAACCTCTGTGGAAAGCAATATAGAGATACCTCAAAGCGATACAAGTAGATCTACCATTTGATCCAGCAATCCCATTACTGGGCATCTACCCAAATGATCCAATGACACTCTACAAAACAGACACCTGCACTCGAATGTTTATAGCAGCACAATTCATAATTGCAAGGCTGTGGAAACAACCCAAGTGCCCATCAATTCAACAGTGGATTAATAAAATGTGGTATATGTATACCATGGAGTACTATTCAGCTCTAAGAAACAACGGTGATATAGCACACCTCATATTTTCCTGGTTAGAGCTGGAACCCATACTACTAAGTGAAGTATCCCAAGAATGGAAAAACAAGCACCCCATATACTCACCAGCAAACTGGTATTAACTGAGTAGCACCTAAGTGGACACACAGGAACTACAGTAATTGGGTATTGGGCAGGTGGGAGGGGGAAGGGGAGCAGGTATATACATACATAATGAGTGAGATGTGCACCGTCTAGGGGATAATCACACTGGAAAGTCAGACTTGTGGGAGGAGGGAGGGAAAGGGCATTATTAGAAACCTTAAAATATGTACCCCCATAATATGCTGAAAAAAAAAAGGCCTATTTCTCAATTTGCTTAGTTTTTTATGCATATATCCCTAACGTCCGACAAGTGTCCAAATATCCCCCCTATCAATTTTCACCTTTCTGTAGCAGTCTCTCATGTGGCCTTTTAATCTGTACCAATCTGGACCAGCTGTCCTCCCTGGATTGTCACTCTCCTGTGACAGATCTCCTGTGTCCTAAATGCCATGTCTTCCTCTTTCTTGGCTTATTCCTTTGCTATGCTCAAGCAACTCCTCCAATAGCTTCAGAAATTGGGGGAAGAACCTACTTTTTTTAATGTCTCTATTCCTCTCACACTTGACTGCATATAGAAGTCTCAGATGAAAACCATTTTTGAAGGCATTGCTCTATTCTTCTAGATTCCAGTGTTGTTGTTGAAAAGTCTGAAGTCACTCTGATTTCTTTATTTTTTTGGGGGGGAGGGGGGGACAGAGTCTTGCTCTGTTGTCCTGGCTAGAGTGCGGTGGCATCACCATAACTTACTCCAACCTCAAACTCCCGGGCTCAAGTGATCCTCCTACCTCAGCCTCCCAAGTAGCTGGGGCTAAAGTGTGTGCCACCATGCCTGGCTAATTTTTCTGTTCTTTGTAGAGACAGAGTGTTGCTCTTGCTCAAGCTGCTCTCAAACTCCTCAGCTCAAGCAATCCTCCCACCTCAGCCTCCCAGAGTGGTAGGATTACAAGAGTGAGCAATGGCACCCAGCCTCTGATTTCTCATGTTTTGAATTAAACCTGTTTCTCTCTCAAGAAGCTTACAGAATTCTTTTGGTTCCAGTGTTTGATATGGAAATTTCCAAGATATATCTTGGTGTAGATTTATTTTCATTCATGTACCGAGTAGGTCCTTTGATTCTGGAAACTCAGTTCTTTGGCAATAAAAATTTTCTTAAATGATTTCATTTTGTTTTCATTTATTCTCTTTTTATAACTCTTCTTTTTTTAATATGGAACCTCCTAAACAAATTCTCTAATATTTTTTCTACCTTTTTCCATCTCTTTTTATTCTATTTTGTGGGAGATTTCCTGAACTATCTTCTAAGCTTTTTCACTTTTGCTGCCATAATTTTAATCTCTAAGAATTCATTATATTCTTAGTATGTTCTTTAATAGTTCTCAGTATATTATTTTTAATAATTTCGTGCTCTTATTTCATGTTTGCAATATATGCTTATCTGTGAAGATACTGATGAAGTTTCTTTTCCTTTTCTTTTGAAGTTTATTTTGCTCTGCCTAGCCTGTTTCTCTAAGTTGCTTTGTTTCTGTTTATTTGGTTCCATTTTCTTTTCTAGGGTTTCCTCAACTGTCTGTTAATCTGTGCTGCCACCAGGCTCCCAACTCCCGTGGGCACCTACCTGTGCACAGACCTGAGCCGCGCGGCAGGAACCATATTGCCTCATTCTCCCCTCCCCCGACCCTATCCATGGCTGCGCAGAGAGACAGTATAGCCACCAGCTGGAGGCACCTCCAGGGAATGAAACCTTCCCTTTTGGGGACCTATAGCTGACTGAGGGGAACTCAGACAGTGAGCTCCCCACCCGCCAACCCTCCCAGGAGCTGCTGGGCTGGTGATCCCAGGAGAACGGGGCAGACCCTGAGGCAGAGAGACATAGACCCAGCTTGGGCTCCTAGTGGGTGAATTGGGACCGGCACTCCTCTCCCTGGTGGGGATATAGTTTGAACTCTGGGACCCAGAGATCAGACCTGCAGACCAGATCCCATGCACCAAGGTCTCACATTGCCCAGGACACAGAAGGGACATACATGAACAGCCTACAAGGTGTGTGTGCCTTCGGAGGCAGATCAGCGTCCTAGAGGGCAACTCTCCTCCCAAAAAGAGGCCATGCACACAGCCCAGGTGGCGTTCCTGCGCAGGGAACCTCCCGGCCAGCATCACAGCCAGGGGAGGCCCGGTGGAGTGAGGTCTGGCCTGCTGGCAGAGGCCCAGGAGTAGCCACGGAGTTGGGAGGGTGGAAAGAAGTGAGACCCG